TTCTTGAAGATCTTTTTACGACCTGATTGCTGTTTTTGTTGATCCTGACTAGCTGTAACAACAAGGCAACCCAATGATAGGTTGGGTTCAGGTGACTCCTTAATTGATTCATACTCTCCTGGTCGTACGTGGTTCATGTATTGAGTCAAACATTTCCTTTGGACATTAGCTTCACAAATCACGTCACCAACCCTTCTCCATACGACACTAGCTACCCAGGCAGATCCCACTGTCGAACGTTTATTGAATATACTGGTGGTCTTTTTGGTAGTTCATGCTTAGTGCTCCTAACCTCAAGTTTACCAACCCACACCACTTTCTGTGGGCACATGTAACTTATTTGTCACTTGTGGATGATTTCGTACTGGTGTGCCAACTTTTTATACACCTTTCTGATGAAGTTGTGAGGATAATCACTTCGATTTTCCCGGCTCCTCTAATTCCATCATGTAGAAATTTGGATCGATTTGCTCGAACGGCAAAAATTTAATGATAAGATTCAAGCACTTAAAAACACAAAACAAAGTTTTGATCTTTTATTAAGAACACAAAAGAATTTGACTAAATATATCTTACTTGATTGATTGAATTTGCAGCAGAACTGGTTAGTGTAGTTCCAAGAGCTAAACAAATTGTAGTCGAATAACAATTTTCTAAGAATTCAGGTGATACCATACTAGTAGATGCTGCTAAGCCACAACCGACTAAAGCAGTTGAAACAACTAAACCTGTAAGACGAGCCTTTGAAAGACCTGCAGCAATTGATGCATAATGTTTGAAAAGTAGGACAGCAGGTGGTTGAGTTAAAACCAGGTCCACTGTAGTTGGGCATGGTGTTGATGGTGAGAATGATGATGACGATGTTACTAGAGGACTAGAAACCCATTTATTAACTGAAGTGCTTCCAATTGATTGGGATTTTTCAGCTGTGCAAAAATGGTTTTTACATTCTACATCAACAGTACTTGTATCTGCTGGTAAACAAACATACATTACCAAAAACACTGATATTTCTTTTAATATAAAACAAACCTTAAACAATCAATAATTATAATTTTGATTAGGCAAACAAATCAGCAAATATTAAGATTGGGCTCTAGGAAAGACAGATACAATATAAAACATGGTATAATAGTGTGTATTGAATCAATCTAAAATACTTCGACATTATAATAATAGAGAACTACCAACAACAGGAAAGAAACTGTATAAATACCAGTAGTATTTATGGTAGTAAGTAAAAGTTGAAAGTGGAAAACCGACAGATATAAAATGAGACTTTATACATAGCTTACAATGCTATGGTAAATGTATTCGAAACAATTATGTTTGACTAGATTTAAAAACTGTCACTGTCCCAACAAACACCAAGATTGTCAGAAGCTAGTTGTCTCAGCAGATAAATTGTGAATATATATGTTCTACAGTCTTATATAGTTTAGAAAGTCATTTTCTGTTTTAGGCTCAATGAGTGTTGGAATGAGTCATATTGTGGTGTGAGCTACTGATGTCGATAGATATAAGTTGTATGTATCATCAATAGAAAGTGGGATGCCTGGTGGTAGAAGGTTAAGATCGGGGGAAAGAGAACGAGAATGATTAGTGTGGAAACAAATGAACAATGAAGTCTGAGACAATTGATTGACATTTTGCAGATGAATAATTTACTGTATGGTTTTCAGATTTTACTAAGAGATTCTGCGATTTTGTGTTCAAATACATTTCATTGTCCCCACTTGTGTTGTCGTTCGCTAAAATATCAGAGGGCGTAGATCTGTTGGTTAGGGTTCACAAGATAGCTGTAAGGTTGAGTGATCAAACTAAACATCAGCAATAGTATTGCAGATATATTTAATCTTTAGCTCACTCTAAATCTCAAGTTTTTACATTATTTCATGCTAATCGCTAGCATATTTTATCAGCTTCTCTCAAACGCCTACTTTTTTTTACTTTTATCGATACTATAATTCTTCCAATTTATTTGATTTATTTTGATGTGATAATGTGTAGTACGACCTTAAATTTGTAAGAAGCTACGGGTTCAATCCCCGATTCACACTGATGTGTTAAGCTGGATATCACAAGGTACCACATAAATTGTAGTCAAAGCGGATGATGTAGGCCTGTATATATTTGTCCTAAATTCTACGTCTTGACTAGTTTCGTCATGAGCGAGAAACATAATAAAATCGACGATTATTAAAATTTCCTTGATATGTGATCCGTTAAACGTTATTAAATAAACGATAGCATGCTAAAATAGACATAAATTAAGTAGAATTAAAACTTTCAAATCGTATTATTTTAGTATTGCTTACTTTGATCAGTTAATGAACCAGGTAACTGATATGGTAGTGATTCAGACTGTGGAGTCAGATCAAGTTTACCACTCTAGAATAATGGAGATACATTAAATCATAGAGGTAATTAATAATTTAAAAGTAAACTGATGGTATAAGAACTAGGAAAATTTGTTCAGTAGTTATGTGACATTCGCAAATTATGCTCAGCGAAAGACAAGATGCTTTATGATTATACAAATTACAAGATTTGTAGCATATTATTGATTTAATAAATTGTATTTCAACATACTATAGTATACAGATTGATGTACCTCAATCATTAATAATGTGGGGATTGTGGCACGAATATATTTAAGTTTGATTTACCACACACCACGTAAGAAAGCTAGCGATGAAATTGATAAGCAAAAGAGAGAAGTTAGTCCCAGTATGGACGGTCAAAGAGTGACAATAAATTCTGAATTTCGAGGAAAACAATGAATGCAAACGATACCTCATCTACACAATATTATTCAACATCTCCAATCATTGACCATGAGTATTGTTAAGGTCCTATTGAGAGATTTCGCACCTAATGATGTATCCTAGACTAGTAGTCAATGGTTGTGTGGGTTGATTCCATGTCATAATCTGATTACCTCTAGAATTCTTCCAACCTACTTCTATCCCAATCAACATTGAGAGTCTAGGTAGACAGTAGTTGTGTATACGTTACACACTCCTCTAATCCACTTAGATCGACAAAGATTCACAGCCTCACCAATCGATTTAACATCTTTGTTTAATGTCCTACTTCTAACCTCAGCATTGCTCACTCCATTTTTTTCTGCAAGAGGTAAGAAATGTTTCAACGACAACTATGACCAAATACTTGCCGTATATGGTTGTCTCCTTCCTTTAAAAACCACTTTTCGTGGCTGCAGATTAGTAAATGGAAGGCCGCTCTGTAATATACTCGTCCCTTAGTTGATAGACGGATATCTCATTTATGCTGGACCAACTTCGTTTTTCTCTTTAAACTATTCAAATATACATTGCAATTCTTCTGAATAATTGATATAGATAAAAATATTGGGTACAAAACGTAATGTTAAGCTGAACAAAATTTAAAGTTGATATAGTTATCAGTGCAAATCATGTGATTATTGATGTTATGATTTATCTATAATGGTAAAGATCCCCTGACAGATTCCTTGTAATTTTTTAGACATCTCTGCTAAATATTGATGAGGGATTATTATAATGTGGAACGTAAAATTACTATCTATCTATTATTGTCGCCATTTCAAACACAGAAAAAGAAGTCCAAACTTAGCCCATTAGCTATATGAGGCCGATTGAGCAGTCGGGTTTAGATTTTGTATGAGTGTTTTAAAAACAAGATATACATTTGTGGAACCGAATTCTGACTAGTGAGACCTGTTGTTTAACTTGATCTGTGGTCGGAACATTGAAGGATTCAATAGGCAGTTCGGAACAGGTCGAGAAAACCAAAGAAACCATTGTTGAGAGCTCCATTTGCAAACAACAACTTCATAAGGGGAAGATGGTCCCGGAAAGAGAGGTCGACAACACAAAACATGGGATACGACAAGAACTCATAGTGAGAGAAATAGGCATAAGTTTTGATGAAAGTACATGAGCAATCGACGCTTTTCTATTGCTGATACTCAGAAGGGTTATTTCTTAACAAAACCTGAGATGAATTCGAATTAGTATTAAAAACCTTGACCTGAGAACCTAACAGCAGAGCCTAATGGGTACCTGCTCAAAGCCAGCCATAAAATGAATTACAATGAGCAAGCCCCCACTTCAGTAATGTAGTAGCTACGGATGGGACTCATCACTTACTTGAAGAGGAATCACTCTCAACGTTCACATCCAGTAGGTTTTATTTAGCCAATGGGTCAAACTTTACCAGGTGGTGTTTTTAATTTTAAACTATCTATACTATAGTCTGATACCACCTTAAAAGTTGTATGCTGGTACCAGCACAAAACAGCTTGGGAAGCAATTATTCTGAAAAATGAATAAGATCTCCCGTTGTACATTTTCGACATTTTTCTGAAAAATAGGGTCACAGTCAGAGTTTTTCAAAAAACTCATCCGCCTTGAAGATTAAACTCTGACATAACTTCGAACTTCCGACTATACATGGTTGTAATAATAGCTTAATTTTATGGAAGTCGATGAAGCCAAAGTTATTGAGATATGCTTAAAATAAGACAACTTTGCAACTAATTTACTTGGACAGGGGAACACTAGATACATATGCGCCACACAAATCTCATTTGATTTGTGTAGGGGCTGTGATACTGCCCGTGTGCCCAAACCGAAGCAGGTAATAGGTGAAACTCAGTCAAGATTCAATGTCGAATATCTGGATTTTAGATCACACAACCTAAAGATCAATAAGTACTAAAAACGTGTTTGGAATTGATAATTTAAAAAGTTACCATCAGATATATATAGTATTAACTAAAGCTACCTTAATTTGAGAACAGGTGGATAGTACTTTCTCATTTAAATTTCTCTTACGAATTTCGGGCAAAGTAGTTAAAGGCAGCTGACAATAAGAATGTACTGAAAACGTTGTAGGTGAGCAGAGAGATAGGGATCGATGAGTATTAAGAAATAATGTGATTTGTAAGCATCGAAATTTCTTTACGAAGGACATTTGGATGAAACAACAAAGTTTTAATGAGAAGAACTGCAATTACAACAGTCTTCCAGTAGTATTTGTGATAAAATTGGAATTCGAGGATCAATGTCCGTCTGCCGATTACGTGACTCACAGTACTGACGAGCTATTTGGATGATAGCAGGAAACTTAGTACTCAAAGAAATAAAATCTTCTGAATTCGGACAACGAGTAAACAAATGTATGATAATAGTCAGCGAATGTACAACAACTGTGGAGTCTGGAGATGTAGCACAAGCTACAATACACGGTAAATGTATGTGACTGAGAATTTCTTGACGATTTAAAGGTGATGAAGCCGAAAGATTAGATAAACCTCCAAGAGCAAATTCAACTAGACGAGCTTCGCCTTCATCAACTTTCAAATTTGATCCGGATTGGAAGGCTGAAATACAAAAATATGTCAATATAAATAAAACGAATTTTACTGGAATTATTTAAATGTCAATGTTCCTTCAAAATGAGAATATTCTATATCTTCAATAGCGTATGATTACTACTAGTGAGTGTTAGCGAAATAAGAAAAACCATATGTTCATATGTGCAAAATCTATTACAATGCATCTTTATTATTACAGATTATCTCACCTATTCAGCTAAACACTATAGTCCTTTACGTAGTTAGTCAGACATAAGCAACGTAGAACTTAGAATAAATGTGTATAGGTGCAGTTGCCACACTACTTAGCACAGAGAAGTTATCAAGGTGGACACAAGAGTAGTAATTTTAACTGTCTTAAAAGATGCCAAACTAAAAGTACAAAACATGGCCAAAAAAGAAGATAACATAATTCCGAAACTCAGGATATATGGAAAGACAAGAGTCAATGGACCTGCACCATTGAGATGAATCCTAAACCATTCCACACAAAGTTTCAACCCACTGGTTAGAATAACCATGGGAACACCAGCCGAGTAGCCTGTTCAGTCAATCAGTCATTTACAACGTAGGACCAGACACATATATGCATCATTTCAAGTTGCCACACCTCATTAACACAACAAGATGAACACCAAATTCATAGAAGTAGTTACTTCATTGACAGTAATATATAAAATAAAGATTGCGTATAAGCATATAATACAGGAAGAAAGAATAAATTTGTAGAAATAAAGGTATAAAGCAATTTTAATCTCACGGTTTAAGGGAAGAAAGTGAGTGTGTACACCTACGCCGTTGTGATCGATTCTCAGCCATATCATCCACAGTCTCCAACCATTGGTTATGATAGTCACGCGGACCCCAACCAAGTAGTATGCATCTACCAACATCGCTCACACTAAAGTTAGTCACTTCAAGGACTGATGCCACATTTTAGTTTGGCCGCCCCTAACTTTCTTCCAACCATCCCCAACACTAGTCAGCATTGAGCGTCGTGGTAATCGGTGTTCAGGTATATGTAACACGTGGCTCAACCATCTCAGTCGATGAAGATTTACAACCTCATCAACTGATTTACCATTATTCTCTAATACCCTGCGTCTAGCCTCACTATCGCTTACCCGGTGATCCAGCAGACGTGAGCAATATTTCTAAGATATTTATGATCAAATACTAGTAAATTACGAGTATCTTTTACCCTTAATGGTCACGTTTTGCAGCCGTAAAGTAGAACAGAACGAACTGTTGCGCAGCCTACTTGTCCCTTAATTGACAGACGGAGTTCGGTCTCACACGACCTTTTTGTGAGTTTTTGTATTAGCTCCGTACTTGTTGGGACATTACCGCAGGAAACGGAAATCCATGGGATAAGGCGATATACGCATTTTTAGGGTCAACATATTCGAACTCCACTCATCCTTGTGGGAAGGCAGCAGCGCTGTTATGCTGATTGTCTGAAGGGAACACCTTACTGCCGTCACACATGTGTACTGTCAACAGTACGACTTCGCCCTCGGAACTTGGGTTTGTTGCTTTTAGTTTTACTGCCCTTCAACCGACCTGTCTGGCATGGTAGAACCTTGAGGAACGATTGTTCCAGCCAGAATAGCTCGATTGGTTCATTACGATAGGCCAACAGCTAATGGCTTTACAGACTGATGCTGTGCTAGGTTTAAACGCTCCAAGATTTTTTCCGACGTGCCCCTACGCCAGCAAACATTCCTGATCGAGGTAGACGGTGGTTGGTCGTACGTAACACATGCCCTAATAGCCACATTCGACGAAGATTTACAGCCTTAAAAACCGGTTTGCCATTCATACCTAGCCTCCTGTATCTGACCTTAACACGGTGCTCCATGGTTCCACCATGCGCAACACAACGCTCTAAGAGCATTATGAAGAAAATACCCGTAGTTCACGAATGTCCTGTTTTTGAAGACTGATTTAGAACAATATAATAATATATAGTGAACTGCTGAACTGTATGCTGAACTTTCGGTCGTTAGATGTAAATTTTGTTTATGCTACGAGTGATGCAAGTCCACAGGATCCAGACAATCTCTCTGAAACCGTGCTGATATTTCGCTAAGCACCAATTCATTATGGCTAATGAGGATTCTGAGATAAGTAGACAACGAGGTTAATTACCTCCTACCGTTTGTTCAACATTGACCAATACCACTCCAAAAGACGAGCGTCCTGGATCTGTATTGAGATCTCGTCATAAAAAGTCAAGCGTTTTCCACCAATATATGCCACTTTCAAGTGGAATATTCCCTCCATTTGGCTTATACTGAGACATTTGATGTATCACATTTTAAAGCAGCAAGTTCAGGATACGTTGAAAGATGGAATAGGAGGGCTAAAAATGATGCAATGAGTAGCAAGTGTTCTGAAGATGATGTTACAATACATGCTGGATAACAGGTATGACTAGAATAGGTAATAGTGATAAAAGGAGAAGGTACATTGTCAGAGAACTGAACAGAACTTTTGTGATGTGTCAAATGTGAGTGTGCAAACAGATGAGAATTAATTTCAAAATGTATCGTTAAAGAGCGCATACAAAGATTGTAATGCGGCTGAGTGTATGTTTTATGGAGCCATTAGCACATTTTTGTCATGAAACATATGATACCCACTGTAAAACTATACCCTGGTAACCTCATTTTAGGTAGACACGAAGTAATACATGATTATGTAATCAATCAATAAGAATACACAAACACATGCCTGGTTTATTTCATCCTGCATATCTTTGTTCATTCATCATATTAGAGACGAATCGATATAAACACGGCGGAACTATAATTTATGGACGAACCAAGCAGATATAAGATTTCATGTGTTAATTTTGATGTGCAGCCCATCCATTTAGGCCAAATAGCGTTTTGGAACTTTAGCTGATGTCAGTTCGTGATGAAAACCCTAAATCTAACTCCTCACACTGATTTATAGCCCTCAGTACTAGTTAGTAAATGGACATGCTCAAAGTTACTAGCGTCGCTCAAACGTCGTAAATTATAGTTTCAACTGGAAAAATAAAAATCAAGGCAGCAGAAAACTAATTTTGAGATGACCCTAGATAAATATATATATATATATATATAATTAAACTTACCAGCTTTGAACCACGCACTTGATGGTTCTAAGATACAGTCGAAAAAGAGATCAATGACGCGCAATTGACGAAGTTGTGGGCCGTTCCGAGAGTCGTAGCAGAAATTAGCAAGATTGGCTAAAATCTGAGCAATAGAAACTAACAAGTACAAACCTGTTCCTTGTGTTCCGTTATTTCAGTTTGCTGATATTCGCTAACTAAATTCTGTAGGTACTGAAGACGGCCGAAGCTCCCAGGAACAGATCGATTAGTACTTTTACGTTGATTTATGCTTGATATTTTATTATTTCTCTTGAAAACCATGTGACCTTAAGACGTGTGGCGGATCTCTCATACATGGCGCTTCTGAGGACACAACAACATACCATCGAACGGAATAATTAGTAATTTTACCGATAAGTATTTAAATTTTTTTCTGTGTAGAATCCTGCCCTTTAATCTCCGTCAGACATTCGGCTGTAAAGCAAACGCATGGACCCACTTCGAAGTTCACGATACCGTTGCCTCCTCGCTAAAAAAAGACATAAATCTCTTGAACAAGGTACAGAGAATAGTGTAGTAATATTGTTTTTCAACCATCCGAACCTTGAAGATATATACACAATAACTCAGGATATTTGCACTTGGAGAAAGTTGGAAAAATGGTGAACGCATGAACGCTTTACCAGCATGATATGGCTCGTCCATGCTGATGTGGGCACTCTATGTGACATTTTTTGTGCGAAATACATTACTCTATACCCAGACAGAATGCTTCTATCAGAAGTGCTAATCATCATATTGCTGAAAGCGACGATAGGACCCGTTGTTATAGATTATTGTTTGACTTTCACGTAAGATCTTATAGATTAGGTGACAAATCTGCAATTTTGGGATTAGGTCCGTTATTCTGGCAGAATTGTGAGTGCACTAATACGAACCTAGACCATAATCCCACGAAGCCAACCAAGTGAGTGTTAGGGCTAAAACACAAATCTTCCGAAGGCAGACTCTAACAATTGTTATTACTGAAGTTGAGTAAAGAGGTGATCTTACAATAGCATACAATATATTAAGTACACTAACCCGCGTAATGAACGAGTCTTCTGCCAGAATATCATCGCCAAGCTCCTCAAGGCAGCCGTCGAAAGATTGCAATTTAGAGAGCGAACACCCAGGTACGTTCTCAATATTTTTCATTAAGTTACTCTCAGTTGGAGTGCTTTCCCAGACGAAGTGACAATGGTTCGCTCAACAGATGGCTTTTAGAGGAGATTTGACAGACACGTACGCTTCCATGGACTGCGACCGCTCAACTTCTAAACCACCGAGCCAACATTAACACTGCTGAACGAAACGGCCGTCCAGTGCTCCTAAGTTTTCAATGGTGGTTTGACTCAGACTCATGGATTCAACAGTTAAAATACTCTAATCTCCCTAAATCCTCACTTCTATTCTGTTTTTTGTTTGAGATCGTAACCTTTTGCTGGTATCTATCTAGCAACTCATATTTCACCATGATCACGCATAACTCACATGAGCAACGTGGATGTCATATTGCCGTCACCTGTAATGTTCAGTGTGGCAAATACAAAGGTTGATTTCACGAAGTATGCACAGATCCTACGGTAACTTCTTACAACATACTTAGTAATTTCCGTAAAAGATGGGTATGTGGCACATGCAACATGAATGCTAGAGATTCCCTGAGCAATATCATCGTTCTCTTGACAGACCGGCGAAAAAATCTCTCAACAGCCTCGAAAAAGACACTCCTGAAACGGATTAACAAAGACGCACAATGAAGCAAAGAAGAGGGTTTTCAGCAAAATTAGTATCGGTGTGCAGTTCACTGACACCAGTGATGATATGCTGAAACGCAACACCGCCATAAAACTGACAGTATGTACCTCTCTCAGCAAACTTGTTTCTCTCAGCACAGACTCCCTAAATGCAGCTGTGGCCCTAAAACAATCTGTAAGCCTTTTTGATTGAGACCAATAATCGATCAATGTTAGCTCACCACTAAACCAGGAAGGATTAGGCGGCTGTTTCGTCCCACTATGTGACTACCCAGCAGTATGCATTCACGACCCCAAACACGGGATTAGAACCCAGGCCTTAGGTCTCGAGCGCGAGCGCTTAGCCTCTGTGTGTGACTAGGCCCCTCCCAACAGGGTTAAAAAGAATCGAGTATCACCATCGAAAATGCCGGACATCCCAGGTCTGATAGAAAGATCAGCTAGTGCATTTGCCTTGCAATGTACCTTTTGGATTGTCCAACCAGTCAGCAAAGTTCACATGAATCCGAAACGTAATCCAGCTGTCAAACGAAAAAAGACCTCAACCTGAATGTATTCGAAAACCTGGGAAATCGAATACGGTTCGACATGATTCTTTAATAATCATGAACCTTGATGAAAGCTTTGTCCTTCCCTTCAGTCTGTAGGGCAAAGATGACAGGATGATCTGAGAAGATTTGAACAGGAAGCATAAACTTCACGAAACTGGGCTACTTATGGATTTACAGCTTACCAAAACCACTAGAGACTCCATCGTGTAGTGTCCGGTATTACTGCTGATTTTGGGGATGTTCTGTTGACCAGTCACTTGGTGAAATCGGAATGCGATGTAAGAATACTACCTGATATACCATATTCTGAGCCCAATCCCATCAGGAATATTACTAGGGAATCTTGTGAGACGTTCCGTCGCAGAGGAAATATCGTCGTTCAGGGTGTTCTAAAAAACGCGAACAATGACTATGCAAACTATCATATTCTAGAGTGAAAATTCATAAAGCCGTCCTTGGTATTTAAGGACATAGGAACTCAAAAGGTGGGGCAACTAGCCAAAAACGGCGGTGACACTAAGTCTTGGCTAATTAATATAATCTCCCTATATTTCAAATGGCGGCTGCCATTCGCGAATCGTTTCGTTCCAAGAGAAGTCGGCTACCAACTGGAATTCAGATGTGTAGTGGCATTGGACAATAGCCACACAATCCACAAAGCTGTGAACACGAGACTACTCAGAAAATAGATATTCAATATTTAACTCGGGGAAATACCTAACAATGGAGAAGGTGCGGAGAATGAATTGAATGGACTGAGTTGATCAAGTGGCATGGCTCGGCCATGCAGGCGTGGTCCCTGCTGGATGTTATCTTATATCTCCTATTCATATTAAATATATTGTTCTTTCTCTAGCCTAACCTTGTTCTACATCATGTATTGGTAATTGATACCATACAGTGAGTTGGTGTAGTCGATGGTGTGACTTCCACGTAAGATCTTATAGATTAGGCAGTTATATCATGACAAATCTACAAATTTAGGATTAGGTCTATTATTAGAGCAGTACTAATATCATAGTAGACCATAATTCTACATTGGTGAGCCCAACTAAAGAAACGCAACCTATTATTGTTAATCCTTATTTCCACCTTAACCTTCTCAATCGGTTTTTATTTTTGTAAACCCACTATTCTAATAGTCCTTTGATTAATGGTCACATATTATCGTAATGTTATATCTATTAGTTCACATAAGTTACTAGCTCAATCGATAATAAAAGTTGATCATCTATATCAACTAATTAGCTTTGATGGTTCGTTAACAAGCTTTAATAGCATTTACCTGCTTCAGCGACATAGACTTGTTTAGACATCAAGCTCTAGCAAATATAACCTGTAAATAGCGTAAATATACATTGACTAGCAATGCAATCAAGGACTAAATAGTTATCTGGATCTAATTCTCAGTCTCCCTTCACTTAACACCTCATCCTGTTTTTAAACTATACACTATCCTGTAATATCTTTTCTTCCGACCACTGCCTGCCTAATTTCATATTCTCGAGTTCCATTGCCAAACAACAAGGATGACACTTCTCCAAAAACATACGATGAGTTCCAGCTATAAGTTTTCTGCAATCATAAGGTCATTTTTAGATGGTTCGTTCAATGACAACCACACAATTATCTGGGTTCATTCGATTGTTCTGATCTGAGCGAGTGGCAAAAACCTCAACAGCATCAAGGACTCTGGAATTAATTGCCATACTGCATGATTTATTCTGGATGCTTTTGGATCAATACTACTCACGAATGGCGTTATATAAGTCGTCCACTGAATAATCTAATTTTCAAAAATAATCAAGGCGAGTTCAACTATTTTACTTAATGATTTTTTTACTTAACATGTATGTTTTCTGGTTCCGTTTGCTATATATTTGTAAGTGTCCCTAGGCTAAATGCAGTAACTCCTTATGGAATGTTTATAACGCATCATATTCCTGCCTGAAGTTTCACAAGCAGTCTAAACTTTAAAACGATTTTCTGGTCATGTTCATTATTTTTAAATCGTCATATACGTCAACAACCTGCATGTTAACCTGGCCCATACATACGTTACACTATATCTCCATGTCTTCTAAATTTAGAAATCATGTGGACCGCCTTTAACATTTATCAATAAACCCATCATAGTCGTTGTTGCTAATCGTATTTGGGTTTATGGATTGGTTTATCATATTAGCAGCCTAAAATGCGAACATAGTTTAGATAATAAGATTAAAAATTTAAGTACTATCAACTGCACTAGTAAAATAACTAAATCCCCAGGTAGCTGTTGGTTAAACAAACGTTTAAAATCAAAACTCCGTAGCCTACTAGAATTAACACTTAACGAATATTTCTGAATTGAAATTTATAATTAAATTAGGCGTCTCGGATTCTTTAACGTTATAAATTTCTGATAATTTCGAATCACCTAAAGCAACAATACCTATTTTTCCACTGACTAATCCTCAATCAACACTATGACTAGTTAAACGTAATAGTTTCAGGATATCGTCATAAAGCATTGTCATGACTTGACAATCACGTAATATGATTGATAAAATTAATGAAACTATTAACAAAATCGGTCAGCAAATTGATTTACAATTATCACTAGCGTTGTTTTTCTTTTATCTTCATTCAATACAGATGATTACAGTATGTTTCTCTATCGGTTGCTCATTCAGTAAATATCTCAAAACCTTGTCAGTCTAATTGATGGTTTAACGACACAATCATGCATGCAAATAATCAGTATAAGCAATCGAGCAAATCTCCTGCAAATTGAAAACATTAATGTCGAATTTACCCCAACACTGACTAAGGTTTAAGCCATTATCATAGACATGAGTTGGGAGTGTACTCCCCTTGGTTACAACTTATGTACTCCCTGGTAATCACATGAGCATCACTCACGGTTAATCATCTTGTAAAAACGTATTTGGCCGAGTACATCTTACAGCACCACATCACTTAGTAATGT